CCAAAACACCAGCCAGTTCACATTAGGGCCAGGACTAGTTGCTGGCTGGGCTGGGTTATACTCTGTAGCATCCACCAGCATGAATTGGAACTGAGGACAGTGAGTTAGGCTATGTCAGACTAGACCACAGCACCCATCAGTATACGTGAGATCCAAGGGGAGAGGTGAAAGCATGGTAGGAGAGCAATGCATGCTCCCCTCTGGCCACTGTTCCCACTTGGCTAACCAGGCCTGGCAGTGCTATAGCAATTGTTGAACTATGAACTGTGTTAGGGGAAGGGCAAGGCATAACTAACCATCTATATCCACTGGTGCATGCTGGGCAGAGTTAAGTGCAATCTGGTTTGGCTTTACCACAGCTGGGAATGCAGGCAAATTCTGTCAAGCCCAACTGTATAAACACCTGAAGAGTGCAAAATCCAGGAATCAGAGTGGGCTGATGGGCTGCAACTCCCACTGCAGAGCATGAGAACCAGTGCTAGAAGAGGGTCCAGCTAGATAAGCTGTGTGCCGGCATGAGTCTGCGCTGGATAGTGGGGTCAGTTGAGTTGAACTAGGCTCCAACATCCACTGATGTGCATGAGAGCTTAATGGGATATGGATAGACCGGATCAGTCTGCTGTACAGACTGGCAAGCACAGGAGCCAGGGCTGGGGAAGTCCTGGTGGAACTTATCTGAGTTGCTCTGACTAGGCTGCAGTTCCCACTGGTGTATGTGAGAGCTGAGTGTGTTTGGCTGGGTTGGGCTGAGCCACAGCATCCATTGGCTGATGTAAGAGACGGGGCCGGAGACAGAACTGACCCAGCAAATGAAACTTCCAGTGTATGCGTAGGCTGATGTGGGTGATGGACAGAGCCAGACCTCGTCCTGCCAAGCACACACAAGACTCAACCTCAGATGAAGTTTCTTTGGGGATTCCCCCAACTGAACCACTGGACTCAGAGCTCCAACCATGGGGAGAATTGCAGGATCTGTGGTCTGACCGTGGAGTGCATGTGTCAGAACCTGGCCTCTCCTAATGGCTAAGATGGTGCAGTGGTTGGCATGCCCAGATGCACATGGAGGATACAGCAATCCATTGGAGCCTACACAGGACATGTTGTACCACAGCAGAGGAAAGAGAGCAGAACAAATGGAGAACTCTCCCAGACAAGCAGTGACAGCAAATATCTAGGGGAATGGAGACTTTAAGGTGGACTACATCAGCCAACGGAATTTGGAAGGATTTTATCATCCTTCAGTCGGTGACATCGACATAATTTCAGAACTATGGAAACCACCTGAGCAAAACCCTCGGGGATGCTCCATATTGGCAACCCTTATATGATATTAGGTGGTCATTCCCCATCCCATGTACTGAGGCAGTTGCCAAGATAGGTACAGCTTCTCCCCTTCTCTTTCTCCCCTCCCCAGACACAGGAAAAAGTAAAAGAAAATTTGACAAAAATGGTCTCACCAACTTTCATCTAATCCTCTATCCTTCCCACACTGATCAACTATGTAAACATCATCAAAAAAAGTTTTTTAAAAAGGAACAAAAAAAGAGAGAGAAAGAAAGAAAGGTACAGTTAGGGTGGCCTTGTGGAATAGGTAATAAACAAACGCTTGTGACATTGGCATCCCACAGAGGTACAGGTCCAAGTTCAGTTGTTCCACTTTCAATTCAGCTACCTATTAATGGCCCAGGTAAAGCAATGAACACAGCCCAAGTGTTTGGCCGCTGCCACCCACATGATACACCAGATGAAGCTCCTCATTCTGGACTTCAATCTGGCTGAGAGCTGAATCATGTGGCCACCTGAAAAGTGAACTAGCAGATGCAAGATCTCTCTAACTCTGACTTTCAAATAAATTGATATTTCTTGAAAAAAAAAAAAAACAAATGGTACACCTGAGATTTAATTCAGAATTCTCATTTACGTATGAATTTATGTTAAGCAATCAGTATTAGACAATTATCTATATATCAGAGAACCAACATTAAGTTCAAAAATAAAGGTTCAATAAATGTTTCTTAAATATGCTTTTTCTACCAGGAGTACCTTCCAGGATACTAAAAAACTTTTATCAGGGCCTGGCGCGATGGTGCAGTGGTTAAGGTCCTCGCCTTGAACGCCCGGGATCCCATATGGGCACCGGTTCTATCCCAGCAGCCCCGTTTCCCTTTCAGCTCCCTGCCTGTGGCCCGGAAAAGCAGTCGAGGACGGCCCAAAGCTTTGTGACCCTGCACCTGCGTGGGAGACCCAGAAGAGGCTCCTGGCTTCGGACCGGCATAGTATCGGCCGTTGCACTCACTTGGGGAGTGAATCATCAGAGGGAAGATCTTCCTCTCTGTCTCTCCTCCTCTCTGTATATCCGCCTTTCCAATAAAAAAATAATAAAAATAAATCTTGGGCCCGGCGTGGTGGCGCAAGTGGTTAAGTCCTCGCCTTGCACGCCCGGGATCCCATATGGGCGCTGGTTCTAATCCAGGCAGCCCCGCTTCCCTTCCAGCTCCCTGCCTGTGGCCCGGGAAAGCAGCAGAGGACGGCCCAAAGCTTTGGGACCCTGCACCCGCGTGGGAGACCCGGAAGAGGCTCCTGACTTCGGATCGGCATAGCATCGGCCGTTGCGCTCACTTGGGGAGTGAATCATCGGATGGAAGATCTTCCTCTCTGTCTCTCCTCCTCTCTGTATATCTGCCTTTCCAATAAAAAAAATAATAAAAATAAATCTTTAAAATAAATAAATAAATAAAATAAAATAAAAATAAATCTTAAAAAAAAAAACTTTTATCATACAGTTTTCCCTGACAAATGTCTAACATTCCACTGTGACATCTAGACAAAACAATTACTCCCTTCATATGTGTGAGTGCCACATCCATAGATTAAACCAACCACAGGTTGAAAATGTAACTAAGAGCTATGATGGTTGAAAGAGTAGTGAACAAAGACTTTTTCCTTGTCATTATTCTCTAAACAGTATAATGTAACAACTATTTTCATAAATAATACAATAGCTATTTATATAGCGTTCACATTGTATAAGGTATTATAAATAATCTAAGGATTATTTAAAGCATTTCAGGAAATGTACATAATAGATGTTAAAATACTATATTAATTTATTAAGAGTATCATTGGATTTGGAATTTACTGGTATTCTGGAACTAAGCTTCCATAAATATTAAGGGAAAACTATACATAAGAGCATAAATGTGAAGTCTTTTTTTATTAACAACCTACTCAACCTAGAAAACATGAGAGCGCTCAAGATTTTCTTGATAGTATCTGAACTCAGCCTGGTGATACAAATAATTGAATTTTTATTTGAAAGTTTATGATTTCAGGAAAAGTACCACTATTAAAATAAATTCTTGGAGCCAGCACAGTGGAGCAGCGTACTAATCCTCTACCTTGTGACACCAGATCCAAAAGGGGACCAGCACTTGTTGGGCTACTCCACTTCCCATTCAGCTTCCTGCTTTTAGCCTGGGAAAGCAACCCCTTACCCACGTTGGAGACCTGAAAGAGACTCCTGGCTCTTTGTCTTCAGATCAGATCACCTCAGCTCTAGCTATTGCAGTCACTTGGGGAGTGAACCAGCACATGGAAGATCCTCTCTATTTCTGTAACTCTGCCTTTCAAATAAAAATCAATCCTAAAAGAAAAATTCTTTCATTCTGTGATGACAGTGACTAACTGAGAGCTTATCTGTACAAACTCTAGGTGCTTTTCCAAAGACCTCCCTTGTAAGTTTTAGCTGGTTTCATGCAAATGAAAGTTAGTATTTTTCCTTTTTTTAATCCTTATTTTTTATTTTTTATGCTATACTTCCCTAGATTTAGGGATTTCCCCCTTCTACCTCCTGTTTTAAATTTTTCTTTTCTAATAAAAAGACTACCAAGCCATTTAAATAATTGTGTTATTAATGATGTAGAAACATTTTTACATTGTGCTATTAATGGATCTTTGTTGCTTGTGAATAACTTAGAAGATCACTCAGAAATGAAATATATCAATTCAATTAAAGCTGTCAATAATTCAAGGAACTACAGTCACCATATTCTTATTGCATCAACCTAACTCAAATTTGATACCTTTTACCTGTTATTTTTACCCCTCCCGGCCTCTAGTATCACTATTCCCAATAATCCAGTACATATTTTATAATAAAATAGAAGGAACTCCAAGTTCCTTCAAGCATAAAATTATGTCAAAGAAGGAAAAATGATCCCGATGGTTTGATCAAGACACATTGTACACATGTATTAAAATGTCACACTATAGCTCGAAGACATGTATAACTATTGTTAAAAGAATTTTTAAATAATGCAAGACTCCTAAAGATGTTAGTTTCACAAATTACTAATGTAGCAAAAAAAATTCTAATACAGATTTTAGTAAAATATTTTCAAATCTTGGAAAACAAAAAGAAGAGAAGTTATCAGACCATCAACCCTTCATGTAAAGAGGCCTGACATGAATTTTCAAAAGTCTGGAATGTATTTACCTTCATATTTGCTAATAGTGGCTTGTTATGGTATCCTCCTAGAGTTGAGAGAAATCCTAATGAATACAGAATGTAGTTTATGGTAGGAGAGTAAATAATAGGAAGCTTACATTAAAATTTAATCAGCAATATTATCAATATTCATAAAACACTCTAAATAGTGAAATTGAACTTTTTGCCTTATAACTTTATCTCCAGCCTCCCTCCCCAAATCCAAAAAGTGACACTCAAAACTAACTTTTGCTATTAGCAAAAAAAAAAAATTCAAGAGATGTATATACAGAAGGGAAAACTATACATAAGGGTACATTCAGAATATTTAGAATATAAACAACCTTCCACAAGTTTAGCAATTTTCTTTGTGTTCAATAATTTTCTTAGTGTTGATAATCTCATCACTTAGTAGTGTCCTAACAAGGAAAGGTGGAAGAATTATCCCTTAAAAACTACTACAAGCTCCAAAAGCAAAAATTCAAATTCCAACAACTTTCTAAGGTTCACAAACCTTTAAGCTGAGTATCAGACATTACTAGAGAAATGCCATCTTCATCTCTCCACTCTTCTTTAGTGTGCACAGACTGTTTTACAGAAATTTTATCTACTGTCTTACATGGTTCCAAACCCCTGCAAAACAGAATTGAATTATACTCAATTCTAATAAAGCATAAGTGAATTTTGAAGCCAAGGCATACATTCAAAATAAAAATCCAAGGAAACAAATACAATCCAACATTACAAACCACACAATATGCACAGAAAAAAAAATACTGAACTCAAGAGATCAATAACTTCTTGTCTAAGCTTTTTTTTATTTTTATTTTGAATTTTTATTGGAAAGTCAGGGAGCTGGATGGGATGTGGGGCCACCAGGATTAGAACAAGCATTCATATTGGATCCACCTATGCTGCTTTTTTTTTAAGATTCATTTAATTTTATTGTAAAGTCATATTTATAGAGAAAGGAGAGAGGCAAAGAGGTAGATCTTCCATTCATTGATTCACTCCCCAAGTGGTCACAATAACCAGAGCTGCGCTGATCTGAAGCTAGGAACCAGGAACTTCTTCCAGGTCTCCCACACAGGTGCAGAGTCCCAAGGCTTTGGGCTGTCCTCAACTGCTTTCCCAGGCCACAAGCAGGGAGTAGATAGGAAGTGGTGCCGCCGGAATTAGAACTGGTGCCCATATGGGATCCCAGAGCATTCAAGGTGAGGATTTTAGCAGCTAATCTATCATACCAGGCCCCCATCTATGCTCTTTTAATTTCCCATTTACCTTTCAGGTGAACAAACCAAATGAGCAAGTGCCTAATTTTACACAAGTATTAAATTAGTCAAAGAAATTTAAAATGACAAGTATACAAGCATACTGATACTCAAACCTATGTGCAAACAATTATAAGCAAAAGTTGATTGTTACTATATTTAAAGCTTAACCCAAGTAACAAAAGATAAGCACAAATTGAAGCTTGGATTGTGATTACAAATTTTACCTATAACAGTGATAATATCTAAAGTGCTAATTAAAGATTTAAAATAAAAGATTGAGAGAAAAAACTTTGGAACAATAAGCACAACATCATTGTTCATTTTAAAAATTCAGAAATATGGGGCCAACATGCCAGCCTATCAAGCTAATCCTCCACGTGCTATGCCACCTTTCCATATGAGATACTTCCCTTGAAACAAACAAACAACAAAAAAACTATGTAATAGTGCTTGATTTTCTAACACAATACACAGTGAAAAGAAAAATTTTTTTCACCTCTAATCTACTCTATGACTTCTATGGTTACAGAATAAAGGTAATACAATACAGAATGTTTATAAATCAATACTTAGCCAAAGATTTATTTTTATTTGAAAGGCAAATATAAACACAGAAAGAGAAACAGAAAGATCTTCCATTCACTGGTTCACTCTCCAGATGGCCACAGTTGCCAGAGCTGAGCCAATCCAAAGCCAGGGACGAGGAGTTTTTTCTGTTCTCCTAAGTGGGTACAGAATCCCAAGGTTTTGGGCCATCCTCTGATGCACCCATATGGGATCCCAGGCAGAGGATTAGCCAGTTGAGCCATCACCCAGTTCCTGAGAATGATGTTATTTTACAATGTGCTAAGCCACAGCCTATGACACTGGCATCCCATGTGAATGTCACAAAGGAGTCCAGGATGGAGTTCTAGGCTCCTGGCTCTACTTTGGCCCACATTTGACTGTTGCAATCATTTGAGGAATGAACCAGTTGATGAAGGATCTCCTTTCTCTCCCTACCTTCCTGTTTCTCTCTTTCTGCAACTCACCTTTTAAATAAACAAAATTTTTAAAAAGAAATCAAAGTTCAATATAATTAATCATTCACTTTTAAAAGGCAATAGAACTGAAAGTACATGGACAATTAAGCCAAACACAATATAATCTCACTCAAAACATTACATTTTTTTTTAAATAGAAACTGACACGCTCTAGGGCCAGCACAGTGGGTTATCAGGCCAATCCTGCACCTGCAATACTAGCATCAAATATGAGCACTGGTTTGACTCCTGGCTGCTCTAATTCCCCTAAATCAAAATGGAACACCTAGAAGAAGCTCCTGGCTCGTATATTCAGATAACCTTAGCTCTATTCATTATGGGAATTTGTGGAGTGAACCATTAGATGGAAGATCTCTAATATTAATAAAAGATCCTGTTACCAGACCCTCAACTAACTTCACCACCTGGCTATCTAAGTAGTGAATTTCATTAAGTCATGTCCTTAGAAGTACAATTTCCCTTTTGCACTCGTTAAAAATCCAAGACCACCTTCACTAAGCAAGACAGTAGTTCTTGAAACCCCAGTGTGTTACCCTCCTCATCTGGTGGTATATTAAATTGTCTCTTTGCTTCATCCTCAAATCTGTCCTCATTATTTTAATTCAGAACCATTGACAAGAGACAAACTTTTACTGGCACTACAATACTACAAAATCAGTGCATAAAGAAGTCAACTGGGCCAAGCGCTATGACCCAGTGGCTAAATGCTCACCATGCACGCGCCATACGAGTGCCAGTTCATGTCCTGCCTGCTCCATTTCCCATCCAGCTACCTGCTTGTGGCCTGGAAACATAGAGGAGGACAGACCAAAGCCTTAGTACCATGCACCCACATGGGAGGCCCAGAAGAAGCTCCAGCCATTTTGGCCACTTGGGGAGTAAACTAGTAGACAGAAGATCTGTCTGCTTCTCTCTGTAAATCTACCTTTCCAAGAAAAAAAAATATGAATTTTTTTAAAAGTTGACCAATAAAATAATAAAATTGATACATGCTAGATGGTGGAAATCCTTAAAACTTGGAGAAACTAAAAGATCTTTAATTAGATTACATCAGGATAACAACAGTGGCAATGGAAAGAATTTAGAACTACATTCAACACTGTTAGTTAAAATAAACTTCTTCTGGATAAAAACTAAGTTGTAACATCTTTCTTTAACCAAACCAGCAACATTTTAAATAAACTATTTATTAACTTCAGAAGAATGATTTCCTAAAAATAAAGCAAATTACTTACTAAGAAAAATATTATGAGGATAAGCCAAAAATATAGTAAACTTTTATAAATGACAAACTTTTAAAAATCATTTTTAAAATGTTTTTAAATGTTTTTAATTTTTAAATGTTTTTTAAAACAGATAGGGTTTCTAGAAATTTAAAGAAATATTTTTAGAAATATGGTTTCTGGAAATTTAAAGGACCCTCAATTTCTTGCTGAGTAGTAGGGCCACAACACATATTTTATCAACAAGGCAAACTGTCTTTAAAGCTGTTTTATAAGGGAAGCATATATAAGATGCATACTTAAAAATAACAGACATGAATTCAAAGTTTTATCAGCAGTTATGGCCATTTGAAAGGGAACTTCAAGAGCTTCTCTCTGTCTTTCCTTCTCTCATAAATCTCCACGTTAAATAAATTGACCTTTTAAGAATTTACTTGAAAGGCGCATTTAAAGGGAAAGACAGGCAAAAAGTTATCTCCCATCCATTGGTTCATTCCACAAATAACTGCAACAGATGGAGCTGTGCCAGTCAAAAGACAGCAGCCAAGAGCCAGGACCTTCTTCCAGATCTGTCACATGATGCAGGGAACCAAGATACATTACTTTCTCAGACAAACCAGCAGAAAACTGGATCAAAAGGGAAACAGTGAGAACTTGAACTAGTGCCCCTAGGGGATGCCAGTGCCACAGGCACATAAAACTTAAAGATTGAAGAAGAAATATAGAAAAAAAGAACTATAGGAATAATACAATGAAATAAGTATTTCATCAAAGAAAATTCCTGAGCCTAATGGTACTAAATTCCACAAAATACTAAAAGAGGAATTACAGTCTCTTTCAAATGATTCTAAAATATTGAAAAGGATGCAATTGGACAAAGTTCTTTTATCAGGACAGCATTTCTCTGTGATCAAAATTAAGGCACAACATACCAAAAAATTACAGAACAATATGCCTGATAATCATAGATACAAAAATTCTCAATAAAATATTAGCAAACAGAATCTAACATGGTACCCTAATGGCTAAATCCTCATCTTGCATGTGCCAGGATCCCATCGGGCCCCTGTCCATATTCAGGCTGTTCAGCTTCCCTTCCAGCTCCCTTCTTGTAGCCTGGGAAAGCAGTCGAAGATGGCCCAAAAACTTGAAACCCTGCACCCATGTGGGATACCAGGAAAAAGCTCCTGTCTCCTTGCTTCGGATGGACTCAGCTCTGAGCATCGACAACACATGGGGAGTGCATCACCAGATGAAGATCTTTGTCTCTGTCTTTCCTTCTCTTTGTAAATCTGCCTTTACAACATAAATAAATAAATCTTTTTTAAAAAAGAAATAAAATAAAAAAGCATTTTATCAAAAACTACAAAAACCATGATCAAGTAAGATTTGCCCCGGGGAGCAATTGGAGTTCAATATTCACAAATCAATGATTATAACAAATTACATGAGCAGAATGAAGAAAAACACCATTAAATTCCAACAGACACAGGAAAACACTGGTTAAGTTTGAAGATGACGTCATTATTTAAAAAGCACTCTCAACAAACTAGAGATAAATGAAAACAGTCCAAAATTTTAAGGACTGTCTATGAGAAAACTACAACCAACATTATACTGAATTTTCACCACACTTACTCAGTACATTACTGGAATTACTAACAAAAGCAAGCAAAGAAGGGGAATGACAAGCACAGAAATTTGAAAGGTCAAAATATCCCTGTTTACCAATGAGATGTTGTCGTGCATGAAAACCTAAACTCTTGGATCCAGGGGGGTAACCTAGTGGCTAAAGACCTCACCTTGCATGTGCCAGGATCCCATATGAGCATTGGTTCTAATCCCAACAGCCCTACATCCCATCCAGCTTCCTGTTTGTGACCTGGAAAAGCAGTAGAGGACAGCCCAAAGCCTAGGAATGCTGCACCCACGTGGGTGACCTGGAAGAGGCTTCTTGCTGCTAGCTTTGGATTGGTTCAGCTCCAGCCATTGTGGCCACTTGGGGAGTAAATCATCAGACAGAAAATCTTCCTCTTTGCCTCTCATCCTCTCTTTATATCTGACTTTCCAATAAAAATAAAATAAATCTTAAA